ATAGTCAAAACAAAGCAATCGGTTAGAAACAAAGGCAGCTCATCATATGTCATCCGGTAAGAAATGGAAGAGGTTTTACCCCAGCATTCTTGGCGGCCAGTGCCGCCTTCTTCTCTTCGATTTGCTTCTTTCTCAGCTCAATGGCTGAGAAGGCAGGTGTCTTTTCAGGAGGCACCATTCTTTTAGCTTTACCTGCAAAAAGGGAAATTCGAGTTAGAACGTGTACGCATAGGCAGGCGTCAGAATACCGGATGGGTTAATGAACCTACTCTTTTTAAACATTGAACTTAGATTGCAAAGGGACAAAAAGGCCTCGTCCCTGAACCATTCCGGGAGGGGTACCCAGAACTTTGGGACGATGATTTCACTACCGTCCTCCATCAGATGGGTCGTTTTGAGGAAGAGACCCGTCTCCATTATTTGGTCCCAGGCCTCAGACGACACTTTCGGGAGCGCGCATTTTTTGCCCAGCAATGCCGGGTGCTTATTATACCGCCGCAGCCGGTGATTAAGGGAAGTGGAAGGGGAAGAGACGACATAAAATTTGCTCTTCCAGTTGGTCCACTTTGATGGCTTCTCCAAAGTCATCATGTATTCTTGGTTGGTGGTAAGGGTGTACCAGGCATTCCACCCACCCGGAGCCCGGCTGAGGTAATGCATGTGTGCAAAAGCCTCCCAACTGGGGTTCGCCTCCTGCAGCTCACATGCGGCAATGTACCCCAAAATATTGACCCAAGAGTTAGGAGTCAATTGCCATACGCCCAAGTCATACCCCAGCAATATGTCCTTGATGCAGGGGTGAAGGGGGAACCGGAGGCCTGCTTTAAATGCCGCCTCATAACAGCCGAAAAAATCATCGGCATGGTCCAAGTCGTCCGTCCATACGACGGCTGCATTAACAGGCGGGACTCTTATTTCCCAGTCCTTCCCAACTGGTTTCCTTTTAAAAAGAAAGGCAGGAAGGGTTGCAGTAAGGGTGACCACGTCTCTCGCAGACATGGTCATGTCAGTCGGATCCCCCTTAGCCGGCCATTTGTAGGCCTCCTCAACAATAGGCTCAGCCTCCTGTGCAGGGGCTTCAGATTCGGACCCAGACCCTTCTCCAGCAGATTCATCGCCGGATCCTTCGGCATTAGAATCAGAGTCTTCCAATATGCTGTCACCCGGTGTGCTCGGACCGCTCGGGGAATCTTGACGAGTCCATAGGGTTTCTTCCAAAGGAATTTCACCAGACGGTCCTGCCGTCTGGTCCTCGTTTCTGGGATCAGCCGTATCTTCGGCTGCGTCGTCGAACTTGTAATCCGGGTCAACTGCCGTCCATCTTATCCGAGCCATTCTGTCCTGCACATGAACAGAGACGGTCGGATTCGAGGTAGGTGAAGGTTCGCCCAAATACCCCCAGACGGCAGTCCCAGTCCTAGACTCAGCCGTGCCTGGTGACCGCCTGATAGCAGTAATAGGCTGTGCCGAGTGTATAATTGAAGGGTCCATATCCTATCTATGCAACCGGAAAATTAACAAAAAGAATTGAAACAGGGTGCAGACGGTACCTTTGGAGGTTGAAATTTGCTGAGTTGATTGCTTGAAACCTTCACAGGCGGAAGTCTCCGAATGTGTTTAAAGCTGAAATATACATAGATCAGACGTATTTGATAGAAGCTCATTCAAAAGCTCCTCATGCGGTGGATTCCCGGATGAGGGTTAGCAGTGATGGATTGGAAATTGCTCAAGCGACCCCCATACGGTTAAATGCCGGATGGGGGCAATTTGAAACAAAGTTTGAGCCAAGGCAGCTCAAACGACCCCCATACGGTTAAATGCCGGATGGGGGCTATGTGTACGTTTGAGAAAAAGCCAAGGCTGCTCAAACGACCCCCATACGGTTAAATGCCGGATGGGGGCAATTTGAAACAAAGTTTGAGCCAAGGCTGCTCAAACGACCCCCATACGGTTAAATACCGGATGGGGGCTATTTGTACGTTTGAGAAAAAGCCAAGGCTGCTCAAACGACCCCCATACGGTTAAATGCCGGATGGGGGCAATTTGAAACAAAGTTTGAGCCAAGGCAGCTCAAACGACCCCCATACGGTTAAATGCCGGATGGGGGCTATTTGAAACAAAGTTTGAGCCAAGGCTGCTCAAACGACCCCCATACGGTTAAATACCGGATGGGGGCTATTTGTACGTTTGAGAAAAAGCCAAGGCTGCTCAAACGACCCCCATACGGTTAAATGCCGGATGGGGGCAATTTGAAACAAAGTTTGAGCCTAGGCTGCTCAAACGACCCCCATACGGTTAAATGTCGGATGGGGGCTATTTGTACGTTTGAGAAAAAGCCAAGGCTGCTCAAACGACCCCCATACGGTTAAAAGCCGGATGGGGGCAATTTGAATGATGTTTGAGAAAAAGCCAAGGCTGCTCAAACTACCCCCATACGGTTAAATGCCGGATGGGGGCAATTTGAATGATGTTTGAGAAAAAGCCAAGGCTGCTCAAACTACCCCCATACGGTTAAATGCCGGATGGGGGCAATTTGAATGATGTTTGAGAAAAAGCCAAGGCTGCTCAAACTACCCCCATACGGTTAAATGCCGGATGGGGGCAATTTGAATGATGTTTGAGAAAAAGCCAAGGCTGCTCAAACTACCCCCATACGGTTAAATGCCGGATGGGGGCAATTTGAATCATGTTTGAGAAAAAGCCAAGGCTGCTCAAACTACCCCCATACGGTTAAATGCCGGATGGGGGCAATTTGAATGATGTTTGAGAAAAAGCCAAGGCTGCTCAAACTACCCCCATACGGTTAAATGCCGGATGGGGGCAATTTGAATCATGTTTGAGAAAAATCCAAGGCTGCTCAAACTACCCCCATACGGTTAAATGCCGGATGGGGGCAATTTGAATGATGTTTGAAAGCTAAGGTTGATCAGACCACCCCCATACGGCTAAAGGCCGGATGGGGGCAATTTGGATGATGTTTGAAAGCAAAGGTTGATCAGACCACCCCCATACGGCTAAAGGCCGGATGGGGTTACTTGTAACTAGTCTGAATAAAAACAAAGTTGGCTCAAAGGGGTCCCATGCGGCACAATGCCGGATGGGAGTAATGTCAGGCCCATGCGGCAAAACGCCGGATGAGGGGGATTTTTGGACTTGTCCCAAGCCAGCCCCATGCGGCAAAATGCCGGATGAGGGCATTTTTAAAACTAGGGAAATATTTCAAAAACCTCAGACGGGAAATCCCGGATGAGGTAGGGGTAATTCAGAAATTTTGGACAAAATATACCCAGGCGGCAAAATGCCGAGTGAGACCCTTAATCTAGGGGCAAAGAGGGAGAAAGCAGACGGTACCTTACTAAATCCGCACTCAGCCGGAAGGCAGATGTCAAGTTCTTACGAAAACCGAATGCTCGAAAGTCTTGAAAGAAGCAGCCGGTATCAGAGCTTCTTCTCAGGAAATTTTTAAAAAATTTTGAAGAGAATAAAGTGCGGAGGAAAGAGGTAGCCACCCTACTTATAGAAAGAGGCAGAAGGCGAACAGTCACCTTCTGCGCGAAAATTTGAAATTAAAAAAAAAAAAAAAAAAAAAAAAAAAAAAAAGAAGGGAAGCAGACGAACCGTCACTTACCCCATGCACCCTACGTCTGTCACAGGTGACACGTGAGTTTTCCACATCTCACCTGTGAGGGGCAGATGTTTAGGGTGAAAATATCCTAAGACACGTGGCCCAATAACGGCTTGACACGTGTCAAGCTTTCAACGGTCTGCAAAGGCCCAATCCCTTTGCGACACGTGTCCCATGTACCCTAGTTGAGGTATAGTTCTCCCTTACTATAAATAGTAAGGGTAGACCTCATTTATGGGGATCACACATTAATTGCAACCACACAAAAAACCAAACAAAGCCCAAACCTACTGAAACGCTCTCAAACCGAGAAGCTTTTATTGCTCTTATTCCACTTCGAAAAGATACTAACTAAATCTTCGGAGGCGGAACTCCCACCCCCATCCGGAGTCTCCGTTACTTGTGCAGGTACAGGCGTAAGAAGGAAGTCTGCTAGGAGCAGGTACAGGCGTAAGAAGGAAGTCTGCTAGGAAATTGTAACTCTCCCGAAGGACACATAGAAAACCCCCAAACAGGTTTAGTTATTTCGGTATGAAGTTAGCTCGATATGCCACGAGCTCAAGTAGGCTTGTCAATGTATTTTAAGGCTACATATATGTATATATATTTTTTAATAGTAGATGTGATAGTCAGTTAGGTAGTATCCTCACTCATAGTTATTTAGCCATCAATGATATATATATATATATATAAAGATTAGATTTTTAAGAAATAAACTTTTTAAATTTTCTTGGTGCATTTACTTTAAAAATTAAGAGAATATTCACTAACCTTTCTTCAACATGAAAACCAAAACTAGTTTGAGGCTTTGAGCAACGTTGTAAACAACTTTATAAACAGCCCATTTAAGACTAAGATCTGTTCTCTTCAGCTTAATTTCAATTCATTTCAGTTCCTTATTTCCTTCTGTCATAAACAATTCATTTCAATTTAGCCCAATTCAGTAAATCAAAACATGCCCTTAATATCATATTCCTAAGGTTTCGACATTAAATTCATTATCTTATGCTTTGTTAACTGTTACTCGTATATCACGAGTAATAAACTAGAACTTACCTGATATTGTGGTGCAAATTAAACTAAGGTCTTATTTGGTTCGCCTTAATTTTGCTTATCTGAACTTATTTGATCTGGACTGATGTGGTGTGGTTTGATCTGAATGTCGGATTTGACCAAACTTTGACCTTAAATATACGATAATCTATATGGAAAAAATATATCAAGTGGTCTTGTTAGATTCGTAATAATGTGATTTTATTAATATGCGAACTTCATAATTTTTTTCATTACGAAATTAAAGATGTTTAGCGATAAAAAATTGCACATTAAACGATGATTTGATCTGAACTTATTTTTTCTGATCAGATCTAATCTGAATTTTTTTTGTTTGAAATAAGTAAAAATAAGGTTAAATTCCCGCCCATTTGAATCCCCAAATAAATTCAAATTCAAACCCATCACTACTGAAACACATAACGTCACAAAAAAAATCAAGTTTCAGGAGCCTTTTCTCCATTTTCTCTCTCCTCCTCAACTCAACAATGGCTCCCATCTTCATCTTCCCCCCAAATCTCCACTCCCTCGAAGAAGAAAACGAACGCAATCATCTCTCCGTTCAAAACCCTACCAACATCGCCTCACTCCGTTCTTCCGATCTCGAAGAATTCGTCAAAGGTAATTTTCTCTCTCTCTAAAACCCCCAATTTCAAAACCCTAATTTCACATTTCACTCATGAAATTCCCTCAATTTTGCTGTTTCAGGCGTTTCGTTTGATCTATCAGATAAGGAGTTGTTCTGTATTGAAGATCAAGATGTTTTTGATCGAGTTTATTCTTTGGTGAAGGGTTTTTCTGCTCTTACTCCGCCGAGTAAGCTAACTATCGTCGAAAGTTTAAGGTCGAATTTCACTGTTCTTCTTCCGAATATCGATTTGCTATCTAGAGTGTCGCATTCTCCTCAGAATGATAATGATGAAGATGGTGGTGGTGGTGGTGAGGATGGTTCTGTGGTGCACGATCGAATCGCTTCGCATCGAAATGCTTTCAAAATCTATACATTCTTCCTTTTTCAAATTATTCATGCCGAGGAATCGAGTAATGCTTCTAGTAATAATGCCTCCAAAGTAAGTCTTCTTATTCAAATTTAGCTGTCTTTATTTGTGTAATTTAGCCTAATGTATGTATTTTGGTTAGTTTACGGATGCTAGATTTAATTGTTTACTCACTGTTTTCCGTAGATTGACCCTTTTTGATTGATACTATAAACTTCGAAATCAAGTTTATTGAAGTATAATTCTCCCTTTTTCATATTGTTCGACTATTGAGTTAATTATTATTCTACCTCCGTTTCATATTATTTGCAACGATTAGACATTTTTCCTCTCTACTTCATGTCAAATCGTTGCAAATAATATGAAACGAGAAATAATTCATTAAATGCATAACGAGAAATAGTAACTGTGATATGATATGCAAGATGTTTGGATAGGAATTAATTGCATCAGAAAAAGGAGAATGATAGGGTAACCCTCAGTAGGAGGAACTTCACTTTGAAATGACGGGGGCCTGAGAATAGTCTCCATTGGATGTAGAGTGAACCACAATGTGAAGGAGCCAGGAGAACTAGCTCTCCTTTGCGTCTGTGTTTGTTCGATTTCTTATATTTAAGTCAGAAATATATGCTTCTCACCTGTTAAAGCAATATATTTTTTGTGTGGTTTTAGACAGCAGCTAGCAGCCGGAAGAAATTGCCAATTAATGCATGGAAGTGGGAAGGACAACGAGGGCGGATACTAACTTTGATTGCCAATTCACTTGAGATTAACCTATCGATGCTCTTTGGATCCTCAGATCCTGATGAGAATTACCTTTCGTTCATTGCAAAGTAAGTTGCTATTGAAACTTTTGTTGAACTTGGTTTTATCATATCTAATTAAACGATGACATCGTTCGATTTTTTAGGAATGCATTTCTCTTGTTTGAGAATCCTCTACTGCTGAAGGATTCTGATGCTAAAGATGCTTTGTGTCGCATTATTGGGAGTTGTGCTACCAAGTACCACTACTTGGCACAAATATCTGCCTCTATTATTCATTTGCTACACAAGTATGATTTTGTTGTCACTGCAATGGCTGATGCTGTGGCCGGGGCTGAAAAGAAGTATGCTGATGGAAGCTTGGCTACCTCTATTATTAGAGAAATTGGTAGGGCAAACCCAAAGAGTTTCGCCAAGGATACGGCTGGTGCAGAAAATATTGGGCGCTATCTTGTTGAGCTCTCTGAGAGATTGCCAAAGTTGGTGTCAACAAATATTGGCATTTTAGTCCCACATTTTGGTGGGGAATCTTATAAGATCAGGAATGCACTTGTAGGAGTGCTTGGAAAGTTGGTTTCTAAAGCTTTTAAAGATGACGAAGGTGAGGTGAGTTCAAAGTCAGTCCGGTTACGAACTAAGCAGGCTATGCTAGAAATTTTGCTAGAGCGATGTCGTGATGTTTCAGCCTATACTAGAAGCAGGGTGCTTCAAGTTTGGTCTGAACTGTGTGAAGAACATTCTGTTTCAATTGGTCTATGGAATGAGGTGGCCACATTGGCTGCTGGGAGATTGGAAGACAAAAGTGCTATTGTTAGAAAATCTGCTTTAAATTTACTCATTATAATGCTGCAGCATAATCCATTTGGGCCTCAACTTCGTATATCATCGTTTGAAGCAACACTGAACAAATACAAGAGTAAGCTAAGTGCTCTTCAGCCAGAGGAGAATGAAAAAGCTGATACTGACGGAGTGCCATCTGATAGAGATGACTGTAATGGGGATGGTGATATTGATAATGTTAACGCTGAACCTAGATCTGATGAGCTGCCGAGTAGCGTAACAGATAGCTATTTGTCCCAAGTTGAAGAACAGACTGTTCTGAAAGACAATTCTGTTCCTGATGTTGGAAATGTGGAGCAGACCAGGGCTCTAGTTGCTTCTCTTGAGGCTGGCCTGAGTTTTTCGAAGTGTCTATCTGCTACGATGCCAACACTTGTTCAACTAATGGCTTCATCCTCTGCCACAGATGTGGAGAACACTATACTCTTGCTCATGAGGTGTAGACAGTTTCAGATTGATGGATCAGAAGCCTGCCTTCGCAAGATGTTGCCTCTGGTACTGATTTGTCTTTTCACACCTCAACTGCTGCACATTCTATGTATGACTATGATTTACACTCACGAGGTTATCTGTTTCATAATATACTAAGCGTCTTTGTTCTTGCTTTTTTTCCAATAGGTTTTTTCTCAGGACAAAGCCATATGTGAGGCTGTAGAGAATGCTTTCATCACCATTTATATTACAAAGAACTCTCTGGAAACTGCTAAGAATCTTCTAAATCTTGCGATAGATTCAAATATTGGAGATCTTGCGGCTTTGGAGTCCATAATTGGTACTTTAGTGTATAAAGGGGATATATCTTCTGGAACGGTAAATAAAGTTTTGTCTTCAAACTTTTATTTTTGTAATTTGCTTGATGGCTATGTGAGTACAATTATTGTTGTAGAGAAAATCTATTGAGGTCTATTTTGAGCACATAATATGATGACTTAAAAGCTTGATGCTTCCTTTAATATACGGCATGTAAATATGACAACGTGATGGTAAGGTACATCCTTGGTTCTGCAACAAGCTACTTCACCTCTCTCACCCTCTATCTCTGCGTGGTTCAGAATTCATTCTAGCACGCTATAAATGTTTGCCAATAATGTTTTAATTTAGTATTATTCTCCTAGTTTTTTCTGATCCTCTTTTTTCTGTTTCCTTAATGGAATTATACTTTAAAAACTGTTTTTTTCCCCCCCTCTAGATTTCTGCTTTGTGGGACTTCTTTTGCTTTAATTTACCAAGAACTACCGCGGAGCAGTGTCGTGGTGCCTTAACTGTTCTCTGTATGGCTGCAAAATCATCAAGCGAAATTCTAGGTTCTCACTTACAGGACATTGTTGATATTGGATTTGGCCGATGGGCAAAGGTGGATCCCTTGCTTGCAAGAACTGCTTGTCATACTCTTCAAAGGTTATCTGAAGAAGATAGGAAAAAGCTTCTGGCAAATAACGGGGGTCGAATCTTTGGTACATTAGAGAGTCTAGTAACTGGTTCTTGGCTTCCAGAAAACATCTGGTACAGCGCTGCTGATAAAGCAATAGGTGCAATATATACACTTCATCCAGCTCCAGATATTATTGCTGCCAGGATGGTAAAAAAATCTCAGACTTTTGTGTTCAATTTTGGTGATTCTGGTCCTTTGCAGCATGGTACGGAGAATGAAAATGGAACTGTTAATGCCCCCAACACTGTTCAAGCTGGAAAACTCAGTAGATTTTTGTTTGTTATAAGCCACGTTGCCATGCATCAGTTAATGTTTATAGAATCTTGTGTTAGAAAGATTCAGAAACAGAAGGCAAAGAAGGAGAGGGAGAATGTTGACGGTAGCGGTTTAACACCTGATGCTTCCAAGGTGACTTGGCTAGTTTTGCATTTAAATAACACTTGAAACTCATTTCTTTATGTCAAGCTGATGACATCTTGAATGTTCTTTGAAATGAATTTGTTTGCAAATTATTTAATGTTCTGCTGGTAATTTACAGGAGAGTGGTATAAATGCTGAATTAGGTGTTGCAGCCTCTGATGATGCAATACTTGACTCATTAGCTGACAAGGCGGAGAGAGAAATTGTAGCTGGTGGTTCAAATGAAAAGAACTTGCTAGGATACTGTGCACTTTTTCTTTCAAAGCTCTGCAGAAACTTAAGTTTGATGCAGAAGGCAAGCTCTTTATTTTTGTGGTCTGTTCTCAGAGCTAAAAATCTTCAAGTAAAAATAAAATAACACCCCAAATAGCAAAGAATTCTGAACAAAATTGTTTTGTTTAGATCTAGAAGATGTTGCTCTTCATTTTTTGTTCTTTGGCTCTTCATGGAATTAAAATACTGATGATTTGAAGTAGGAAAACTTAAGCCTTTCATGATCTTCATAATCATATATGTTTTGGTTTTCTGTTCTTTCTAGAATCCGGAGTTGCAAGCAGCTGCTATGCTTGCTCTGTGTCGTTTTATGATCGTCGATGCAGCTTTTTGGTGAGAATATTCCCTTTTCATTTCTCTTGGTGTAATTTATGACTGAGTTGACAGTTCTAAGTGAATTTTACTTTCAATGAAATCCAGTGAAACAAATCTCAGGTTACTGTTCACAGTTGTGGATAGTACATCATCAGAAACTGTCCGATCAAATTGCACCATAGCTCTTGGAGATTTGGCTGTCCGTTTTCCTAATTTACTTGAACCTTGGACTGAGCACATGTATGCCAGGTTGCGTGATCAGTCAGTTTCTGTCAGGAAAAATGCTGTTTTGGTGCTTTCACATCTTATCTTGAACGAGATGATGAAGGTATGGACGAGCAACTACTTGACTTACTTTCATATATCAAATTGATTCTGATAATGGCCAGTGTGTAATTAGGTCAAGGGCTACATATACGAAATGGCTGTGAGATTGGAGGATGAAGATGAAAGAATTGCAAACCTGGCCAAACTCTTCTTTACTGAGTTAGCAAAGAAAGGTACATACAAGTGATTACATGTGCACTAGGAAAAACTAATGAAATAGCTCAAATGTAGGTAATATTCTATATAATATCATGATCTGATCATAGCCTGAAAGGATTTTTTTTGTTTTTGTTTTTCTTTTTTCTATCCTCAGGATCAAATCCAATATATAATCTACTACCTGATATACTTGGCAAGCTTTCCCAACAGAATCTAAAGACAGAATCATTCTGCAACATTATGCAATTCTTGATTGCTTCCATTAAAAAGGTAAAAGATAACTCTTATTGAATCTTACATATTGATTATTTCTCTGAATCGTATTTTTATATTCTTCCTCGAATTCTCTAGGATAAACAAATGGAAGGCTTAATTGAGAAGCTTTGCAACCGCTTTAATGGGGTTACAGGTATGGTGTGAATACTGTTGGCTCATTCTGGTATCTTTATTTTACATATAGTCTTATAGCAAATTTGCAGATTGCAGTGTTGCACTGTCATTTCGTCAGTTGTTAATAATTAGAGCTTTGAGAGAAAGTTGAAAAGTTCTGCTATAAATGTTTTTGGTGAAGCTTAATGTTGTAGTTCTGTGCTTCTTACTAAATTGGAAAACTTCCTTGATTATTTTACTAAATTTGAATAAGTGCTTTTCAATTAAGCATTTTCCAAATAATCCCATTAGTGTTTGTTTTCTTTCAATTATTTTGCATCGTTTGGGTAAACATTTTTATTTTTTTTGGCAGATGGTAGTCACTTGGAATGCCTTGCATATTGCCTTTCTCAGTTGAACTTTACTGATAAGGGAATGAAAAAGCTTATAGAGTCCTTTAAGACATATGAACATGCATTATCTGAAGATTCTGTTCTGGGCCATTTCAGAAGCATAATTAACAAGGTAACATCATTGTTTAACCTTCATTTTCTGTGTTTCTATGTTTAACTAATGTCATGGTTACATTTTATCGTATAAACCAGGGGAAGAAATTTGCAAAACCAGAATTGAAATCATCTATTGACGAGTTTGAAGAAAAGCTCAACACGTTTCATTTAGAGAAGAAGGAGCAGGAGGTCACAGCACGAAATGCAAAAGCCCACAAAGACAGAATTGACAACTTTGAAAGCCTTGCAGTTGCTAGTAAGGCCAAACAAGAAAATGAAGATGTTTCTGTAACTGAAGGTAGATGTTTCCATATATACTCCATGCTTTTCTGTTTGTGCCTGTTGAAATCTGCTGTAATGCTGCTCATTATGTTCAATATGAGACGTATTTGGCTATGTTTACGCTGATATGAACACAAGCTTTCCTATACAATAAAATTGCCGTTGCCAACAACATAAGAGATGACTGTGATGAAACATTGTGCTTATGTGGTTATAACTTATAAGCAATGGTTTCATGCCTTACTTATGTTGTTCAGAACCATATGGCACAGCAAATCTGTTACCATCTTAGGTGTATCTTTCTTTTGTTCCCATAATTTATATTGGAATGCTTGCTTAATTCTTTTTTGAGGAGCAAAGATCACAGGGATATTGGACTTGGGTTTGTTGTTTTATAACTGTAACCTCTTTATTAAAAAGGGTTAGAAGGAATGGGGATGGGTAGGTTCCATTTCTTATCTCCTAGTAAAACAATATCTTTCTAATGTAGTAATGTTCAAAAGTTTTGGAAAACTTCCTTTCCCCCTCCTCCTTTACCCTCCCATCCCCTTTCCTTTATGTTTTATAAACATCACAACTAAAGACTGTAAAAGGACACTGTATAAATTGATGGCCAGTTATCTCTCTGTATTAATTGTTATGTATGGTGTCAACTCAACTATCTTGGATGTCAACAAGGGTGGGTGTTGAGGCCAAAAATGGATGCAACCTTACCCTTGTTTAATTCTAAGGGCTTGTTTGAGTCAGGCGTAACGAGTTAAGGGAATTTTTGGAGACTATATAAAGAAAATGGAGATGGGTGGGAGGTGGAGGTGGTGGTAGATGGATTAGGTAGTGATTTTGTAAGGTGGAGGGATGGATGGAGGAATTACTACATTCATTGACAGTCATAGTTCCTCATACCCCCCAAGATAAATTGCCTTTAAAATGAGGGTATAATCTCCCTTCCATCCCTCTTTACACCATGACTGCCTCAGTCCATGATTCCATCAACGGATCTGGCAGCCCCTGAACCCTATATTAAACTGCCTAGCAATAACATGACTATTTGCTCAAATGCCATCTTACTGGGGACAAATAATAGTCTTTTCAAGGAAGGAAGTTGAGGAATGTCCTTGATTATATAATGCTTAAGTAAGTTAGAAACTGCAAAACTTATGGTCTGTTGATGTTTGTGATCTGTACATACACAACTTCCCCCCTCTCCTCTGGAAAGTCAAATAAAGGTAATTATCACAAGTAATTTACCTGAATTTATCCACCTAGATCTTTGTTTGTTTTACTATCTTGCATGCTTTTACTGCTTTATACATGTCCCTACTTGGTGTTGTTCTCTAACATTTCTTTTTTCTTGTAGATGGAACAGATGATGAGGTCATTAACCCTTCTACAGGGCCCTGTTCTAATGATGTTACAACAAACACTGATGGACTAGAAGAAGTTTGTTCCTCTGCTGCCAGTGAAGCAACAAAAACAAAGGCTTCTGCAGGACCACTATTGAATGATGTTGTAACACCAGATGCTAATGGACTAGATGAAGATTGTTCCGCTATTACCAGTGAAGCAACAGAGGCAGAGGATAGTGGTGAAGTACTGTCTCCAATAGTTAATCAAAGAGGTATATCTCTATAGGGTTATAGGATTGAATATTAAATCATTTCTGGCAGCAACAGTGTTTCTCTAAACTACCGGCTACACTGTGTATTTCATACAAGTTTAACAGTTTTGTTATGTTCAGATGTGTCGAATTCTAGAGCTCGTAAATCAAAGTCAAAAGATCAGAAGGTTTTAAGCAACGCATCAGTTAGGACTAGGAGCACAAGATCAAAGCAAAGGTAACCTATTCATCTTAATGCAGATGTATGTTTCTTTTGCCTTGCCCTTGGACAGTTGGATGCCGTTTAAGTATAGTGATTGAGAAGAATTTTCTGTTCCTCTTCTAGTATGTGCTATTACTTCATATTTCTTTCTGTTTGTCTTTCATATTGCTAATCAAATTTGTAAAATACCATTAATGAGTTTATGACTTGAGAACCTGAAGAAACACATCCAGTTGCCTGTTTTTTCTAATCTTAGAAACTAGTGATTGTGTCGAATTACATCTTACACAAGGATTTATGACGGGCATCTTAAAATGAACTTTTAAACTATGTTTCTGCAGGTGAGGAAGCAGATGATTTACTGTCTAACTTGCTGACGACTAATTGAAAACCTCTTTTGGCTAATAGAAGGAAGAGGCCCTGCATATGTCTATCTGCTGCTGTTGGCTTGTATTTTTTTGTTGTAAATAGTTCATTTGCAAGTAAGTTGTAACAATCTAAGATGATTGAGGTTGGAGACTTGGAGATCTCCTCCACTAGTCCATATTCAATATAAGGGGTGAAATAGGGGACTAAAATGCAAGGGGGGGGGGAAATAATTTTTTTGTATAATGTATGTGTACAATGAAATGTAATCCAAATATCAATATTACTTGGGCCAATTTTCATATTTGGAACACGTTCTTATGGGATGTTTTCGCGTCACATAACCTTTTGTGGAAGATATACATTAAATTATGATGCACACGCAATATTTGAAACTTAAATGTATATATATATAATAAAAAATAAAAAAAATAAAAAAAATAGAAAAAATGCATACAGATCTAATGATCTTCCTAATTCATGGATGGACCGTAAAAAAAAGAAATGAAAAATACATAAAATAAAATCTCCTTTCTATATACTACCTCCGGTCCAATTTACTCGCAACAAAGGGGTATTATTTGTGAGACATAAAATATTCCTTTGTTGCGAGTAAATTGGACCGGAGGTGGTAGTTTACGTTTACCATATGTAATGAATATCTAGGGCCAAAATTCATTAAGATATGTCAAGTACTATCAATCTATCATGGCATGTAATGTTAGTTTAAACAAATTTATATCTAATTGAGTAACTATAAACATAAATTCACGCAAAATATTCACTATTTCTTCAAAAAAAAAAAAAAAAAAAAAAGAGAATATTTGTTGCCTATATAATATTATAATGTTCATTTTATACGCATGTAATTCATTTACTCGCAGGATATGAAGGAGGTATGTATATGTGAAAACAAATATTTACTGTACTTTATGACATTCATATTACTCTATTTATCCACTAAAGTCATACTATATGGATATGAAATAAGTGTGGTGTAGAAATTGTGAAATTTTATCCATTTATCATCTCTAACTTTGAGTTTCCAAAGAAATTTGGTGCATTAATTAATACAAACGCATAATTTTCATCTTTGAAAGATAAAACATTAAACTTATTAAAATGCCTTTTAAAAACTCTATCACTAAAACCATAATTAGATATCATAACTTTGTCATTACAAAAAGTACCTTAATATTACGTGAGATATAATTATGATGAATGTTGTACTACAATGTTGACTAGGATAAAGTATGAACAAAAAATTACAATATCAAGTGATGTCATTAATCTCATTATATAGTGTTAGTTAAATTCACCGAAGTAGTTGTTAACTAATGAATGACATAATAGAGAGAAAGACAATGATAGAGAGAAAGACAATGGAGGGTACATATTGTGTTGTTTGGCTACAAGTGTCCCATTGAGTTGCTTGTTGAGTTGTTATTAATTCAATGACAAGATTGGCCTTTCATTTCACTGAAAGTCTTAAAAAAGGATTATTAAGCATATTAATATTATCCTTTGTTTTGTTTAAATAGTGGAATGATATCTACTTATAAAAGGATTATGAAGCATATTAATTAATTATTTATTTATTTTTTTAAGAATCAAGCCATTTCAACATCTAGTTAATTTTCTATGGATTAAATTTAAACACCATCATTTTAAAAAAAAAAAAAAGTTAAGATGAAGGGGGCCTATTCAGTGGTCCGAGTCGGAAACCCCTCATGGGATAAACCCGGCTTAGGTTAGCGAGCTATACAATTTAGAAGAGTGGGAAGAAGGTCATGAAATTCTATCCCCTAAATTGTAACGAATGGGGATTGAACTTCTAACCCTCAAGGTTGGAAGATACTCTTCTAAATTGTCACTAATGAGTGCTTTCTTTTTCACTACTAGACTAAGGTTAGTTTGGTAAACAATATCAACTGTATAAACACACACAAAACGGCAAAAGAAAAAGACTATACCGAACAAGCTCAATAATATAAAAGAGAAGAGTACCAAAAGAAAAAGAAAATTACCAAAATACCACTTATCTTTAGACTGCTATCAAACTATTCGACACATACCCCGATTTAACACACAGCTACTTAAAATTCAATCATATTTCAATACAATGTACGTTTGTGGTCCTATTATAAATTTTCTGAAACGAATATCAAAATCAAAGATGCAAAATCAAACTTATATCATCAGAAAATGATAAATGATAAGTTCATGTCGGTCATGTAGCTGGTTTTGTCGTTTAAGTGGGTATGCTATGCGTTTATGCCCCTTGCCTTACACGAGCTTGCTCATGTGCTAAAAGGAAGAACCACTCACTAGAGTCACTACAAATTAGGAGGTCTATTTTCGTAATTTCGCATTTTTATTGTTTTTCCACCTACTAAAAATGTGTTTTTATTGGAATTTATTGGAATTTGGATCTCACTATTTTTAGATATTTGGAAATTATTTTCTTCATTTTCAGACAACTTTCCATATTTATAGTAGCACACTGCTAGTGAGTGAGTCAAATCTTTTTAGTACAGCACCCAATTTCAACTAATTAAACCCAGATTTAACAAAAAAAAATCTTGATTAAACCCAGATTTAGGAAAACAATTCTGACTTTAGTTTTGGTTTAAACCCAGATTTTGAAAAATTCTTGATTTTTTTTTTAAAACTGTAGAATTTAAAAAAAAAATCCAGAAAAAATGCAGGGTGGTCAAATGATGCTTGAAGAGCCTGTTCGTCTCTCCTCTGTTCTTACTCCCACTAAATCGGTACTACTTTGAATTTCATCTTTTAATACTCTTGAATAAATATTGTATGTAAATGTATAATTAATTAATTATGTGGTTATTTTGCTGCACTTGAGTTGGGTATGTTTGTTGAGATGTGTAATATCTGCAATCTGTATTATTCCCTCTATTTTCTTGATCTACCCACTTATGGTAGATTCTTGTTTTTATTAAAGTTTGATAAAAGTAGATGAATATAATAAAAGATGATGAATTTATGAAAAAGTAAGGGAAAATGTGTAAATATTGTAGGATGAGAAAAGAGAAAAGTAGATGATAAGAGAAAAGTTGTAAGCTTTTAACAGTTTTAAGTGTTAGCTTCATTTCATTTGCACCTATAAAGAATAAAATAATTCTATTGTGAGCAAATAATCAGAGTAATAACAATGTTATTATTAAAAAAAATCATTGAAATATAAGTGTTAGAGGACCAACTCAACCAAAAGCTTAAGCTGATGGTTGAGGCCCAGAAATATGTTTTATACTCTATCAATAAGTAATAATTTTAATTTCTTTTGTCCCTTAGTTTGAGTGGAGTAATTTTGGCAATTGAATCATAATGTGTCAGTGAAAGTGACTGTTTTTACAATTTTAGAATATGTGATTATTTGGGTTAATGGCTGAGGCTGTAATCTCTTCAAATCATTTTTGGTGAATTGATGAACCAAACTTAGGGCCTGTTCTCTTACGTTGAAATTCAGTTCGGCTTAGCTCAGTTCAGTTCAGCTCCTAATTTTCTTCTCTTATAAAATATTCATCTCAGCTCAGTTCCAGTTCAGTCAATGAGAACAGGCCCTTAATATTGCTGAAGTTAATTTAGACCTGTAATTTGTTAGAAATCTTACACTGTAGTTGTTTTTGGTGTTAAGAAAATATTGATTTGCACTTCACTTTGACTTTAAGGTCCTTCTCCTGTCAATCTTGTATGATTGATGTATTTTGTATGGAAAGTGCTTAATTGGATTATTTATGATGTTGGAACAATTGTGCCTGCTCCATTGATAACTACTGCATTTTTTTTAAAAGAATAGAATTACGAATTTGTAGGAGAGTTCTTGGATGATAGTCTGGATTTACTTGTTTATCAAATTTTAATTCTGACATAAGTTAGGAATAGTGCCTGCTCTATTTTTAATACAATGTGCCAAAACATCATCAACTGGTGGTCTCCATGGAAAAGTTATTCAACTGATCGAAGTCAAAAGCTAACCTGTATAATTGTCCAGATGTCTGTTTCAACTTTTCCTGATCTCCATTCTCCAGACCCTATTCTCACAGCCTTACAGGGAACGAGGGGCGGGCCTGAGGGATTTGGGAGGCCTAAAAATGGTTAATGATGCCGATCAATGTATATGGTATACTTAAGTAAACCTAGGTGGATAAATGCAGTCATTATTACTTTTGTTTCTAATGTTTTTCTACTGTTAAGTTTCCATCATTCCGTGAGATTCTTGATCGCTTAACAGGAGGGTAAAACGTTGGTGAATATGCTTCTAACAAGATTTTATGCAGTAGTTTATGCTCCATCAATCTGTTATTTTTCTTAATTCTTGTATGCTTGATGCTCTCTTAATTATTCTCATCTCAAGCAATGAATAGAAATGTATTATCTAATGATCTCCAATAAATTTGTGTGCAGGATTTTTCTCCATCGTTGACAAAAGTTATGGTGACTTTAGGACCAAAGTCACGTTCTGTCGAGACTATTGAGGCTTGTCTAAACGCAGGAATGTCAGGTAAAGTTTGATGTGGTATATCTGTATGCTTCAAACATGTTAGCTGAGCATATTTGTAAAGGTAGTTCTGCTTACCATCTTCTTTTCTATACCTGCAGTTGCACGATTTGACTTCTCTTGCTTTGACTCTGATTACCACCAAGAGACTATTGACAATTTGAGGGCTGGTACTAGAAAAGCTAATAAGCTGTGTGCTGTAAGTTAATCTTCAATTGTAGTTCATGATACTGGATAGATATACTTGGCTAAGTGATTTTCGTACAGGAATGACACTCAAAAAAACGCCTTGTAGGTTATGCTAGATACCGTGGGTCCTGAAATCCTAGTTTCTAATAAAACTGGTAATCCTGTTGAGCTGAAAGCTGATAATTTTGTGACGATCACTCCGGATACCACTAAAGAGCCATCATCAGAAGTTTTGCCAATCAACTATGTGGGATTTGCAAAGGTATGGCATTTTTTATTTCCTCGGCTGTGCATAAGTTTCCATGAGGCAATTCCCTTTGCTGTAATTAACAATTTAAATAGCTACCAGATGCTCCTGTATCCTATGTAAGATTTGCACTCTTTCATAATTGCCTATGTTATCAATATAGCTGTTCTCATCTTCTGTTTCTTTTGGAATATCATTTCAAGAACAAATTTTCCCCTGAAAGGGTGCTTTTTTTTTTTTTTAATTTTATTTAATTTTAATTTTTAAAATTTCTTTATTATTATTATTATTATTATTATTATTATTATTTTTTTATTTTTTTATTTTTTTAGCATCAAAGATTAATTTAAGAAAATGATGAGGCTATTACAGTGCCTGTATGAATATTGCCGACCGGATGCCTTTTGTGTACTAAATGGATCTGAAGTTCTGAACGAATGTATTAAACCTATCAGGCTATCACAA